ATAGTTATATGTAGATTTGAATTGAATGAAAAAATTGTCAAAGAACCACTGCAGTTGAATCAGATTTTCCGCAGCTACTTTTTCAGGATTTCAATTGACTGCTTAACAATAGAAGAACATGGCAGATTTGCTTTGTAATGTTTTATATCCAAATATTTACCTCCCGGATTAATGCAATTTCATTTCAAATTTCATAAATCAGTATTTTACTAGAATCATTAGTGAAAATTGGCATTATCAAAAATACAATTTTGTTTGCAAATTTAACCAACTCTGAACTGCTTTTCCCAACAGAAAAACAGTGTTATTATATTTTTGACCTATGTTCTCAGTATTGGGGTATGTATTTTTTATGGTTATAACTGAATGTGAAAAGGATTTTCTCCACTTTTAGAATGTTCAGCCTTAATCAAATATTAACACTCCATCTAGTGGAACAAGGTCAATTTTTAAAAAGTATACTAGTATCGAAATGAAAGACATTTCTTTAAATGAGAAGAAAAATGCTCTAGAACATGCACGTATAATGGGACTCGATAACACTAACACGCTCTCACAGCAAGTATTTGCTACAAAGACGATGTAAGACATAAATAGATATGAAAAAGTCTATTAAAAATGCAATGTGAGGTTTTTAACACCTGTGGGACATTTAAAGGCACTATTGATTTACCAAAACTTTAGTATTATAACCAGATTTTTCTGCAGTTATGCACCTTATCGAAATACAAATAATATGACACTTATTCCTGAAATATTCTTCTAGCGTTTTGGCTTGTGTGGATATTCAGGAAATTGAAACAGTTGTTACAATTCTAAAGGGGGACGTTCAAGATTACAACGTTATAAAAGGAATTCAAAAAGGCATTACGTAAGAATGTGAACGACTTTACTTAGACTCTTTTATCACTTCCATGCATTTTCCACGAGACAAATCGCATCCTTGGAATTTCAACGGCCCCGGAGATATTATCCTAAAAGTAATACGGTCGCATTTTGTGTCTGCGACTTTTTAGTGCCCCGAAATGGGACTGTTCATATATCAGAGCCACATTCTGGTTTCCAACTGTCGCAGTGAAAATTAGTGGTTTAATGGTTGTTCAGGTTTTAATCGAAAATCGCTTTTCACAATTGATCACCGCGAATTATTGAAAAAAGTTGGATCCATGTGCCGAATCCCAGTTTGAAAAATTTTACTGAACACTTTCAATTATTGTATGTAATTCATCAGTAGAGCTGCTGCTTCATATAGTCACACCTGTCGCTTTAGAGCAATAAATGAAGCGGTTGTGGTATATATTTTCTATTTTATCAACAAAAAGTACTTTGTATATTCTTCAAAGTATTACCTGTTTGATGGTTTTTTAATATCGAAAATGGGTTTTATTGAAATTTAGAAACTGCCACCAATTACTAAACTAATTTCTAGGAATTTCCGGAATATAACATTTTTTTCTTCGGATCATTAGAAAAGCGATGGTTCGAATAAGCGGGTATTGAATTTCCAAAATTTACGTGCAGGAAATTCTACTGTTCATTTTTATTTATAAAATGATAAATAATATGTCACACTTGAACAACTTTTAAAATATTATAAATCAAATGATATACACGATGATTCAAAATTGACGTCATTCCTTTTAAGGAGTGATAGGGCCGATCCTGAGTACGAGAAAAATATCGAAAACATTTTTTTCGAAAATTTCTTGAAGATATTAACAGTTGAAAATCGAATTTCAACTTTGTTAATAAGCATTATTTTGAAATTGTCCCATGTTTAATTCGTTGCATATTGCTATACTTAAGCATTCAAAAAGCAAAAATTACAATATTTGCTTCAAATTACGAAAACGTTTGGTATTAAAAAAGTTCTCTTCTACAATTTTTTGACGAAAAGTCAAAGCGGCAATGATGTTTTTTGTCATTAACAGATAGTTACAAGTTGATAGGCTTTGTCAATAATAACAGTAATTTGCCCAAACTAACCCAAACTGTGACTTACTTTGAAGCTCTTTTCACGAATTTGCAGATATACGATTAGTTTTGGGGAAGTGTCACAGTAACATAGCAAAAGCTGTAAGAACTTACGCTACCAAAAGGCCAGAGATATTAGAAGATTGACTCCTGGAAGATAGTGGACGACAATAGATGTTTGGGTTCCAGACATAGGTTTGGACATAATAGCAGCTGAGCCTTCCAGGAGTCTTGCATTATGCTCTGCGTTACGGCAACAACTAACACTTTCCCATACACCAAATACCGGGGAAGGGATACTTTCCTACCACGTATGTAAGCTACATACAGCACAAGGACATATTAAACCAATGGATTACTGAACACCGGTACAAATTAAACAGGAGCTAATTAACCGAATACGAGAAGCTGCTCGATAAGAGGGAATAATAAAGAGATTACACAAGCACTAACTTGTTTCGAGTTAATCACTCAAATGTATGTTCACTTGTAAACATAAATTCGAAGTTATGAGGACAATAATTGTCATTTCGAAAAAGTACGTTCCACAGTCAAGAAATCATGTTGAATTTACCGTTCATGCCTGTCTATTTTATTATGACTTTCTGTATAATTCTTAGGTTACCAGAGTTTTTAATAATTACGAATCAACAGGTATTTCCGTAATGTTAATCAGGCGGATTACCTTGAAAAACTTTGTTGCCGTCTTTTTGATATAGTTTTTTGCAATTTCTCAATTTTTAATAACAATTTAATTTTAACTAGTTAATTTTTTAACTATTTTTTTTCTACTCTTAAAACACCGTATGCACCAACGTTCGTATGCAATGGCAAAAATTAGAACTCTGAATGATACAAACATGAATTTGGTGCAATTTTTATAAATTCATTTAATAGAAATGAATGGAAATTGAAGCTTCAATTGTTCATATTTTCGACACGAGTTAATGTCAATGTCAAAAATTTTTATGTCAATATTGATTGGCCGGATGCCAATTTTTTTACTATTTTTTGTTACTTGTTTCCTTTCAAATATTTTCGTTACTTGTGCTACGTTTCGGTTTTTTATTGCAATTGAATAATTAGAACCTACTTTGGAGGCAAGCTTTGTTGAATTGATTGAAAACCAGTTAATATGGTAACCAAAGTCTAATGTATGTAAAGTTCTAAGAAAAAAGCGATTATAGCAAGCATCAACCAATATCGGGAAGAAATATTCATGTCACTGTTACTTGCGATGCTTCCAAGATACGCATATTATTTCTGTTAAACATGGCGGAAAATTTCATTTTGTTGACTTTGAAAACTTGATCCTCATTTCCTCATATCTGGAATGTTCCATGCGTAAATACAATCAAAATGAGGGAAACATTCCAACCATTAAATTTAAACCAATACTCCGGGTTAAACGAACAAAGGCAAAAAGACATTCCAGTTGATTCAACCGATATGTGTTCATATTTGACGCCTTTTTTACCTCCAACAGCAAACTGTGGCGGTTCGTGTTCGTTGGCTTTATACAGGGCGAGTCAATACTGCCTTATATGAACGGGCAGGCCTTTCACTTTAATGTTAGAGTAATGAAATTCGATGGTTTAAACATTGATAAAATTGTATTGTGCGATGATGGTGTAATGGTCAGCATAGTTGCCTTCCAAGCAGTTGATCCGGGTTCGATTCCCGGTCATCGCAAAACCTTTTGGAAAAACCTTATCTAATTTTGAAACCAACATCACCAGAATAATAATTAACATGCACAGAACCCTCAGGACTCATATGCTTCATAACCATTAGGTTAAATATTCTTTTACGCTTTCACCCACTTGTTTCAACGCGTAAACCAATATTTTAGTCAAACTCTGAATCACAGTACAGGACTATTATGCGAATAGATAAATAGGGCTTTTAAATAAAACCGTATACCAGAAAATAAAAATTTTTGAATATCAACTATGTCAAAATTTCTAATATGAGACGAATCAAAGCAAAAGTAATTGAAGTAATTGTTCCATTAAAGAACTGACTCTTGACATTAACTTCTATGCTTCAACCCCATTTTAAATGCACTGACAAAGTGCTTAAAACGATTACAACACTGCATTCTCCTAAATTGTAGTCCCCTTTTAAACTATTAGCATAATGGGTTGTTGAAAGTGATGATAAAGGGATGTTTATTCTTCAAGGCACGTGTTAAAGTGCCACTATTAAAGATAAGTACCTGCATTTTAACTTTATATGCCGCATCACGATTTCCTCATAAGAAATTATTTTATATCCCATCGGGAGCACATGAGACACTACTAGGGAAAACCGATGTTAAAGATGGAGGATTTAAACGGATTTTCATGAAAAAATCCATATATGTTGAATTGTGATTATTGGACTGATATATTATTCGATGGCATTATCAAATTGATATTTTAAAATGTGCTCAATTTTACTGTGCCAGAAGAATATAAAGAAGGAAGTGGAACGTTGCACCAAACATTTTAATGTTCGGGATTTTTTTCACTTATTTATCCACCCAAATTAATGCTAATAATAATTAGTTTTCATTCGCGACTTGGAGAAATTTTCAATTTATGAACACCATAAAAATGCGAATTTTCATCCTTAAAACAGAATAACTAACTGTCCAATTTTCCATCATATTTTATATATGAAAAAGTAATTGAAATTTACATAGGAATTTAACAATAATAAATTAAGTGTAAGATTAACCATTAGAAGAAAAGTTGTTTTCTGCGCTGAAACTTTTCTGATGCACTCTTATAATTGTAAATATCTTTAACAAATAATTTAAACCTAATTGTCCTAAAACAAAAGAAAATCGTTAACGTTTAACCTTTAAGATAAGGGAAATTTAATAGTTAAACCACACTTTTTATATTACTAGAGGAGAAAATTTTAATCTGCGGCACATTATGGGAAAATGCAAGAGCAGTCTCCAGCATTTGCGGTTTATTTTATAGATAAATATGTCAGTCAATCATCAATTGTATGCAAGATCTATTTTGTTGTTTCAGGTGCATCGCGTATGGTGGTTAAGAGATGGCGAAAGACTTCTAAGCAACTCAACCGCAGGAGTGATAGTCAGCAACCAAACTTTAGTATTACAAGTGGGTACAGTTATTTTTATTTAAATACAGAATTTAAAAAAAACTGCAAAAAATGTATTGGCAATGCTTGGAAAATAAGTTGATTTGTTAAAATTTGGAAAGTTGAAAAGTGGTTCTACAATTATTTCAAGATGTAAATGAGCTGTCAAGGTTAAATATCACGGAAAAAATGAAATCAAAACAATTCAAAACTTTCTTTAAACGAGTCATACAACAAAATTACGTTCCCGATTTAACCCTCTAGTGTACGTACCCCTTGAGAAAAGTTTGCGATTTATCAAAAGTTCGCTTACAAGTATGGAGAGCTCCTTTTCCGAGTTTAGAATTCAAACTTTTAAACAGAATGAAATATTGTTGTTTTCAGATTAATGAGGAATACTTACTTTCGCTGAAATTTTACGACGTAAATCGGAATTAATCGTCTCAGAAATGTTTGTTTTAACAATGTATTTGCTTGAGGAACATCTACAGGTTATTTTATTGTGGAACATTATCCCTAAGTGGAGATTATTTAGGGCTGTAATATTTTGAGAAAATCGGCTTTAAAAAGTAATAAAAACGTTTAATGTGGCCACACTTATTGGAAGTATATGTACTGGATTTGGATGAAATTAGTTCCAGAAATTTATGAAAAATTGAACTTTTGTAGATGCACCAAACTCAACATAATCTAATAGTGATCAAAAAATATTAAAATACCTGGAAATTGTTGATTCCAGGGTGTCAGCCGAAGTAGTTCTGGTCAGTATGCTTGTGAAGCCACCAATGAAGAGGGCACTTCCATAAGTCCAGCTTTCCATCTACGAGTGAAATTCGAACCCGTTTGCAAGGATGGAACAGCCCGAAAAATTGTTGGAGCTGCAAAAGATGAACCTGTTCATGTCGAGTGCAAGGTCGGAGCAAAATTTTCAACCATGTTAATATATCTGAAATTTTGAACTGCTATTATTTATTTTGCATTTATTAAATTCAACAACCTTAACTTTTATGCTTGAAATTATTTGCCTTGTGTCCTTCTAGAAAGTAGTAATCGGATTCATGGTTTTCGTTCGTTTTCGTCATGGTTTCGATAAATATTTTCATTATTTTATATACATATAATATTACACTAATGTTACTATTTTCTAATTAAAACATTCTAATTATTAAGATCTTTGTGTCTGAGTTTTCCTCACAGCTTCAGTAAACCAGGCACTATTCGGCTGCAAACTTTCCAAATTACTTGTGTTTGTTTGTCCCCTGTTTGCATCCAAGTTACTTTGCAGGATATTTACGTTTTTGCTATTTGTACCGGCGGCGTGCTAAATGTTTGTTAGAATAGTTGAATTGACAAATAGCTTGAACACGTTAAATCAAAGTTTTCAGTAAACAGGCTTAGCATGTATATATATATATACATCAATTAAGTACATTCATAAAATTGCTGATTATTTTCTGAATGACAAATTCACAAACTTTTATGTATAGACAAATAGTTATTTTTTTAAAGATTGAAAAGTAATTAAATCGTATTATACTTCTACAGAAAAATCAAATTTATTTGTTTATTGCATGCAGTAGAATCTGTTGTCTTTCCTCATTGGATTGCGGAGAAATTGAAATTTTCTACTTTGAATTTAATAGGTAGTTACTTTTATTTGCGAGTTTTATGGAAGATTTCTGATTTTGTGTGTGCTCTGTCAATGTCCAAGAATCTACCACATTAAAAGCAAGAGAGAAAATATCGCAATATGGTAATGTAATTTTATTAATCATTGTTAAATCGTCGCTTTAAAAATGCAATTCTTTTTTTTATTTCTTGAAAGTACATCCATAACTCATTTATCATCGTTTTTAAGTCGAGTCGATTTATTTATTCGAATATATTTATATTTATGACCTCAATAGCCTGACCACTGAGAAGAAGTGGAGAGGTTTACATTTTACTAAAGATCATTAATTTCGTTTTTCTTTATTACATTTATTAATTGGACTAACGTAAAATTAAATTCAGTAAATAACTAACACAAACAAATTCAAAATACTCAGGTTGGTCAGATGTCCTTAAACATTATTTCATAATATTCTTCAGCTACATTTTCATAAGCGATTTTGACTCAAAATTATCTCCTATTATTAATTCCCATCAATCCTTCGGTCGACTCTTTTGATATAAATAAAATTAACCAAAAGTATGTATGAAAATTAAGATGAACTAAACTTATAATTAAAATGTTCTCAAAAAAAAATTACAATAAACTTTTAGTTTCGCCCTCTGTTCTCCAAAAAAACGAAAAATTAAAACGTTTAAAAGTTGTTTTTTTTATGATATTTGTAGGTTTTTCGCTTATGTTACTATTTAAAATGGTTTGGAGTGACTTCCATGACTCTAATTAACAAAGTGATTATATGGATATTCCTGATTTTCCCTTCTTTATTTTCAATTTTATAAGTAGCCTTGTATCTCTCTTCATATTCTCACTGCCCTAGAATGCTAATTTTACTTTACTGAAACATCAACTCGATTTGCTAGTCGAAATGCAAAGCAAGTTTTCCGCTCTTTTATTTTCATGTATTTGGAAGTCTTTAAACGTCGAGCAATCGCTTCATCTCGATAAAACTCTTCCGTACCATCTACAAAATCCAATTTTTCAAATTAGCTGAGAGCTTTTAAGATTATTAACTGTTCGTAAAGTACGAATCGTAAAATCAATCCAGGCCCATAAAGACTAAAGCTAGTGGAAAGTTTGTAGTATTTTACTTGGCTCCGTCAAAATATTCATCCAAATCTGTCGTTTATGTAAAGCCTAATACGTTTCAACGCAACTAGTAGTAATTTTCAAACTGGACTCAGGTTCAATACCATTTTCGTGCAACTTTATCAATAACAGCTCAATTTTATGTTCGCAAAAGCTAATACATCGTTATACGCACAAGAACTTATTAATAAGCCGCAGGTGATAAGAAGGCACGTATTGCTTATTCGGAACTAATTGGATATAGCAAATAGGAATAATAATTGGAGCGCTGTTAATTAACGCAAAGTTTCAGATTAGGTGTCTGATGAACACGTACACGAGGATTCCTCTGTATAATACCAAAATAAATTAGCAGACATTAAGAGTAATGCTAATTCTAATAAAGTACGATTGTTGATTTAGGTCTCGTTGGGTTTATGTTCATTTAAAATTCAGTAAAAAATACCCCAGCAGGAACTCACCATAGAAAAACCTGAAGCCCGAAAACAACTAGTTCTTTATGCTCCTGGTCGAAGAAGAAAACATATCAAGTACTTTAATTAATATGCGATTTTCCAAAAATGTTCACACTATTAGCTAATTATAAAACATTAAATTTTTTCCACCACATTTATAATACTGTATATTAGTTTTCCAAGAATTAGCTGCAAAAGATAATATTCTATTGCTACTTTTATAGGATGTGGATGGAATTTCAATGCCATATTTTCTTATGTTCTTCGAAGAACTGCTTCGATATTAGAATTGTCGTATTATCAACAAATTGTTTTCACGATTTTGATTAATTTGTTTCTATAATTTTTGTATTTAGTTATTCTTCATGCCTTGAATTTTTCGCCAAAGATTGTTTTGTACTTGCCACTGTGCTTTATGTAAGTTATAATTGTGGTTCTTATGGTTTTATTTTTCCAAAACTCTTTATTTGAAATAGGCAATGTTTACTTTGTTTTTATCAGTCGTATTTTTTACAACTATGTAATTCGTTACAAAAATGTTCACTTTTAAAAGGAACATTCTAAATTCGGCTTCATTTTAATTATAATCAGGCAGAATTTTCATCAAATTATCCAGAAGTATATGTTTTTTCCTGATGGCTTATTATCATGTTAAATTCGGTGAAAAGTTATAAAATGATCGAATATTAATGAAGCGATAATTAATCTTGGACGCTTTTGCACCAAAATTAAGTAACAAAAAACTACACATATGCTGCCATGTCAGTAAATAACAATGAACATGAAAACCAATCAATGATGAATTAATAGATATAATTAAATAAATAGATATTAGTTTTAAATTAAGTACGAATAATGCATTTCAAACATACAACAAATTTTTCACAATTTTAATTTCAATTTCGGCGTATGGCGGGTTGAAATGATTCTAACGGAAACATTGACCGCAGTATATTTTATCTATTAAATTTTATAGTGTTAGCGGCAGAACAATTGTTTGTGTGGTGGGACAGTTTGGGTTTCCAATAAATTAATTATTTTCATATTTCATTCTACGTGCTATGAGTGCTATCTGCATATTTTAATAAATCCATACAAAACATATGAAAAATAAAATAAGTGTTGCATACAGGTTGTTCGCTCTTCACTTTAGTATTTCTATTTGATTAATTGCTTGTTAGTATCTTACACAAAGAGCTTAACAATTTATTTAATTAATTATATAAACACCGTGAGTCACTTCCAGGTCAAATAAACGTATTTACTATCAATAAACCTCCAACTAATGCTTAGCCTGCAGTTATATGGAAGGTCTGCTTGAAAAGCACCAACAAACGATTAATTATTAATAAATTACCAGCACATGTAAAAGAGCCAGAAACGTTCTAAATTGCAATATAATGTTAAAATTATAAAATTTATTCGTAATTAATTTTAAAAAACATTGATTAAGTGATTAAAAAACCAAAGTTTCCCCGTAAAACTTTTTTGAGATATGAAACGATGGGAACTGTTAGTTCTTCTACGTGAACTAAATTCAGTAAAAATGAATCTTTTGTTGAAAACTGTTTGGCGTCTATTAAAAAGCTGCCATTTTGAACGTTTATTTTAATTATGAGAGCAGAAAATCCTGAAAGCTCACTAACTGGCCAACAAACTACATTAACTTTGAACCGGCAGAACTTATACTAAGAAGATTGAGCATCAAGGCTGAAATCGGCAGAGTTTAATTATTAATTTTCATAACCCAGTTAACCGGGTTTTAAACGTTGGTTACTTGAGAATATTATAATTTGAGCATATTTTATGGTGCTCATCTATCATGGTTATTTAGGACTTTCGCCACTCCCATTATGTCTACTTTTTCTGTTAAAAAAAAGATGTAATAAACATGCTGTTTTACAAGGCATTGAGCATCAAGAAAATATTATTCTCTTCCTTCTATTGCAATTACTTAGTCGCACCTCTCCAATAAACCTCCAAAACGGAAAAAGATGTTTGATTATATCTACTTGATGAAACAATGCAAAACGTGGTTAAAACTTCGAAAGCTTAAGACCAGGATTTCGGCTTAGAAAAACGTTAAAAACTTAATTCCCTTCACTCATATCGTTAAGCTTACAATTAATTTCTTCATTCGCGCTTTAGTAGACGAACTAAAAGTAAAGTATTCGACCAAAACTGTTAACAAAAGTAAAATAAATAACTTGATGCTCTCAAAAGATTATTTGAAATTTAACTCAAATTGGCTCAATTGTAGTAAACGTGACGCATAATAATAAAACTGTCGATGCAGGGATACAACTACTTGAATCTTTCCCACCAGTCCAATATCAATAACTTGTCCTCATTCTGATTTCTATTATTTCATCTCACTGGACTCGGCTTCCCTTCGCGCAAATTGTTTTTCGCTCGATACTTCTGTTCCTCCAGGAAAATTTCCATTTTATGCATTGCAAAAGTTATCTAACACCAAAGGTTTCTTTTTGCAAATTATTTAAGTTTTCCTCGGACAAAAGTAGAAACTTTCCTAAAGGAATACGATTAGTCCGAGATGAATGTCTAGAACTTAAACATGTTATTTCTTGTTCAAAAAGTTTAGTGCCCCAATTATTGAAATTTGCGACCTGTCCTAGTAGGAGTATAAACGATAAGATGCTTATAGATATGTCCGTCCGAGTCGTAAGCGGATCGATTTCATCCCTTCAGCTAAACTAAATTAAACGCAATTAATTTTGGTTCAATAGATAATGTATATTATTATCACACCCATCTACTCCAGTAATATTAATACCTGATAATGCATATTTGGTTACCTGAGGCTGATGTTGAAATTGAGCAAGTAAACCAATGAAGGATAAACAGTACGCCTGTTGATAAGGGATTTTAGAAAAACGCTGATAAAAAATAGTATTAGAGGGTTGAAAAAATCGTTTATATTTCAAATGCACCTTACAAATTCAACAATTGCATTGGTGCTCAATAATAGAGTTTTTTTAAGTAGATATGAGTAATTTATTCGCTAAAGTATAGGCCGTTCTTCAAACCGATTTTAACGCTTTTCATACCTGCAGAATGTTTCTAGTCGAGAAGCTTCCGGAGGAATTTTTACTTCATAGAAAGTGTAAAAATAATTACTGAACAAAACTTTTTTGTCTTAAATAATAACTGAAAAAAATTTCGCACAGAAAAAACCAGTTGAGAAAACGCTTATATTATTTGAATGACTTTTAAGTTGTACGGTGTTGAACGTAAAATGCGAAAAATAAAATAAATAAAATGATTTTACTGAAATCAATGATTATAATTTACAGGTTGATTCTGAACCTGCTCCCATAGAATATCGATGGAGTTTCAACAGCACTCCAGGTATTTCAAGAGATTTAAGCAAACACTCTACAGAAGAAGGTGGTATTAGTATATTGACCTACATCCCACATGAAGCTGCTGATTATGGCACTCTGCAATGCTACAGCAGAAATGATATTGGTTGGCAAAGAATATCCTGTGCATACCATGTGGTACCTGCCGGTAAACCTGACCCACCACAAAACTGCGGACTTACGAATATAACTCATCATTCCGTAGTTGTTTCGTGCCAAAAAGGATTTGATGGAGGTAAGACATTTTTACGATTTGCTTTGATATTTCGTCTTTAACTACCTTCCACCAAATATTTAATATGTAGCCTAACCCTTCAACGCTCTTCTAATTCTTATCAGGCGGCGATTATTTTATCTATTTCATTATGAAATCACTAACTTTCTAATTGCACGCAAACATATTTCTATGAAAACGAAAAACATTCTACTCTACTATTATATTCAAGATGGATCTTGTTAGAGCGCAAAGACTTATTCGAAGTATAAGCTGTTATCAAGTAACAGATTTTCCAGATCGCCTCCTTTACATTACCACATCCATCCGACATACTAATATATGGGAAATGTAATTTCATTGAAGAGAAATGGCATAAGATTTACTACCTTTCGCAGCATCTGGTTAAAGATTAATTAACATTTTAAGTTGCATCCAATTAATACTTGTCGTTAGCATACACAGGCAGAGAAATGTATTGCATTGTCAAAGATGCGGTTAATTAAGAGAGTACTCCTATATTAATCAGCAAGGCATTCGATTGCCGGGATTTAGTCTTAAGGGCTTCATTAAAAATAGGCATTATTTGCTGAAATATTGAAGAAGACTGCACAAACAAACAGGGTGTTGGACGTTATCAATTCTTTTGCACAATTAGCTCGTGAGATAAAGCGCATATGCAATGAATACCGAATAAGCGAAGCTAAAACTAACCAAACTGGCCCCAAAAAAACAATTTCTTGCTGAAAGCTTATTATATTTCCATTTCACATCAGCTTTCGACAGAATAACCTTATTATTCGAGCAATATTAAAGCCTCTTTCCCCAGTCTGATAATTGAAGTAGTGAGGATAATTTCATAAATTTACCCATCTCTTATGTAAATGTGGCACGGTACATAGCGGGCGTATATAAAATTCATCAGGTACAAGTTTCCTCTAGCAGCTGCGTGGTTATGACAGCCGCTTTGTGAACTCAGCTAATTTGCATGATATAAAACTATATCGAAAGCGATACAAGTGAATTGCACTCTAGGTGAACGTTCTGGACGATTTTATATTTTTAATTTTCGTTCGCTTACTAAATGCAAAAAATAGAAAAAAAGGGTTTTTGCAATTTGCGGTGCTACCGGTTTAATACTAAATGCTACTATGGTCTAAAAAGTTTTCATACTTGTGACTTTTTAATAATTGGCAAAAAAATATTACAAGAATAGTTATCACACAGAACTATCAAGTATTAATAAATATAAAAAAGTGAGCGTCATATTCTATTATGTTATGTAGGTACTGACGAATATTTCATACTATAAAAGGCTAAACAAAAACAATTAATGTATCTATTTTAAACGATTTTAATTTACTACCGATATTAGCGAATTGTGTTAAGCTTTTGAGTATATGAATCTCAAAAAATTGGAAACAAATATAAGCCAATGCAGCTGAAAATTAATCAACAGTATTTGCTGTGTATGTTATACAATAATCATTAATGGAAACACGACCTCGCACGCCTCGAACTCATTTGCAATGTTGCAATGATTTTAAAAAGAAATTGAGCAATTTATTATTAATATTATTAGCACCAGCTCTCGCATCACATAATTTCATGAGTTTATCAGCAAAAGCAAACACCGATTTATAAAACAAACTACACAAAAAGAAACAGACTGATTAATACCACGTTTTATTCTAGCGTAAAAACAAATCTGAATATAAAGCGTTTGAAAAATAAATAAGAAACAACCGTTTTGTATTTTCTCAGATAACAAATAAAGTAGCTTTAGATATTAGCGTTCAATAAATGTAAAATATGAAAATTTATGATGCACAGATGAAGTCACGTTTCGTAATATAAAAAGCGATAAAAACCATTTTGTTCTGATTAATGGACATTGGCTGAAGCAAAAGGGGAATCTTAATTGGCTTTGCCTTATGATTTGGTACTTTAGCAGGATTAAAAATAAATTTACATGCGAAATTCAGAAAAACTAATGACGATCAGATTAATCAAACTTTTTCAATGGAATTTTAAACGAAAAATCGGGACAAAATCTGTTGAATATCGACAGTGGCATTAAAAATTCGATTTCTTTTGGATTAGAAAGACTCGAGAAAAAACGCTCATCAAACATTTTTAAACAGCTGCCAAATGACTAAATAAACCTTTAACCGTAGTGATTGTTTCCGGATCAAGCAACTTTAAGTTCATATAAATGTTACACAATGAAACAATCGCCGTAAAGAATAAAAATTAAATTTTTTGTATGAAAACTGTCTCGGGTGCGACAAATTCGCTAGAATTCATAAGCGGGTGTCAAACAGATAGATACAAATTGTTACAAATTACCTATTTCCAAAAGTTGATGAGCGAAACATCCTAGATATGCATGCAAAATCTTTTGAATCTTCAATCTTTTAATTAGCAGGTGTTCTAATAATCTGAGGCATTTTCCATTAACCCTTCAAATAAGGTATTTTTTTATAAATTTAGCAAATGTGGGTTTTCTTTAAATATCTCCGGAAATAGACTGAATTTTCCAATTTTTTTAAACATCAAAATGCGTAACGTTGTCCTAATTTGTAATTCGTGCTATTAACAGCTAGAATTTGTAACACCCTATAGAACATCTGACTCAAACGCCGGCCTATTATTTATCACATTTGAATACATGCAAATCATTAGAAACGTACGGGCACAATAAATATTTATACTGATGGTATTATCCAACGATCAACATACTGTATAAGGCATAAAAGAGTTGTTCAATTTCAGATAAACTTCTTATATTTTTCAATAAAATATTTTAGAGCTTTTCCTGACTACCGTAGTCAATATACTCGTTAAAAATTGCAGTAAAGTTAAATTACAAAAGCCAAAATGCCTGATTTTACTTCATAAATTCCGCAGGCAACGAAAGCAAACATGGTCTTAATTTAAGGGCCTCGAAATTTACACTAAAAATTATACTTTAAAGGTGGCTTAAAACTTTTTCTCCCTAAAACTTTGAATTTTCTTTCTTGTCGTTCCTGTCATAAGATTAAAAGTTATAATTTATTTTTCTTTCCCGTTTCATGTGCCTGTTCATTCCACTTCATTTTAAGGAACAATCATGTCTATTAGCCACAAATAGTACCTACATATTTATGTTGCAAAATAATTTGATTTAATCACTTGGATTTATCTGTTTAGATAAATGTCTTTGTGTCTTTTTTGCACACAAATATTCCCCGAAGAGCTTTTGAAACAACAAATTCTGTATTGTTAAATGACCGCGCGCATTAGACGTGTGTAAATAGACAAATTCTGCAGCCAGCTTAAGGCGCCAATCCGCACAATGCCCAAATTAAAGCCAGTTATTCACAAAGGAATTTGAGCTTTATTACATAGTGTGATGGGTTTATATCTATTGAGCGTGAATCTGAACTGCTGTAGTACATTAAGAGCCATAAATAAATCGGATTTATTTTCATGCATGCACTCACAAAGAAATTGTATTTTTCAGGGCTGAAGCAAAAATTCCTGCTGGTATTGTTCTCGGGGGAACTTTTCGTTGCCAACATATCCGCGCTCAGTAGCCCCGAATTTTACATACCGAATTTGGAGCCCGCCCAAGAATATTATGCTTCAATTTATTCATTCAACTCCAAAGGTTTGTATAAATTTATATTCGTATAAGTTTTCCATAGCGCTGTTATTTTGTACGTTTTATGTTTTTCATTGAATTACTGCACAAACTTCAAGGGAATAAATGCGCCCGATATTGATGCATCGGCATGCAATTTACGTTGCAAGTCTAGCTGTAAAATAGCAAAAACGCTTATAAGCATCCACAGTTGTTCCTGCTCCAAATTCAGCAAATTTTTATCGGTGAATGGAGCGAAAAAGTCCAATCTATGGAGTTTTCGTTAACAACCTAGCATATTGAGGTTTTTTTTTATGGAAACCGCAGTTGCTGTACCACAGGGATGCAAATCTTAGTCCAACAAATTAATGTCCAGCAGCATAATTATACCTTTCATAGATGAAAAGATTATTGCAAAGTATTGACTACCGTGTGTGTTACCATCAACAAATTATAAATATAAATCATTATTGAAGAGAGTACTACAACGAAATGGAAGTTAACCCCAAGTTTAAATCACAATCCTTTCCTCATTCAGGTTCTTCAAAGAACACTCAACCAATTATCCTTCGCACATTACCGGCACCAGGTTTAAAAGAACTGCGAAGATCTACCGAACCAACAGATAGTCCAAAAACTGGAATATCTGGCCCTTGGCTATACATTCTACTTGCAGCAGGATCAACTTTCATTGTAGCTGCAGCTATTGGGTTGATTGTATTTGTCATCAGACGATTTAAGGTAATTTTATGTTTTTCAATATTACATAAATATAGGCTCGGTAGTGAAAATGGAAAACTTTCAATATAATTTACCCAAATCTCGCCCTTTTGAATGGTTAATGTCAGATTGTTCCCTGTGGAAACCACTAGTAATATAAGTTTATACAGATATGCTTTGTGTTCTCCTTGCCTCAGTTACACGCCCCGATGTAAAGTTAAACAGAAGTTCTACGTACGTGAACTGAGGGGCAATTTTGTGCTATTATATCAAGTCAATAAACATTTCACTAAGGACTAATTTACATTAATAAACGATTTTTCAATGAAGAATTCAAACAGTTTTGGAATATACTCTGGACGCAGTTTTCAGATTTATCACTAAAGTTGAAAAGCAAAATATCTTGACTAATTAACAATCAACGTGTTACTAAAAATATTAAAATCTTCTCATATAAAAAGCTCAAAAATTGTAACACACGTTATAAAAAATAAAAAGTATTGAGTTCAAGTGAAGACTTCCAAAATATTGTCGGTATTGTTTCGAATAGTTACAAGAATTAGCTGAAGTATCTGGTGCCAAATGACTTGTCTATAATTGAACCACTAGCTGTACCCTTAACAGATTAGCTATAGAGCGATCTAGAGTATATTCTCATTAGTGTTTAATCTGAATATGGGAAGCTCAGAGCTGTTATGCGGTATGTTCAACATTAATCCCACAGGTTCTCATTAAGTAAAGCAGCTTTACTTAATTAGATTTAGACAAGAAAGTGCTCGATTTGGTCTTTGATGTGATAACAACACCTAGATTTACATTTATTGCATTGTTGTGAAACTAACTATAGAATGTCCATTGTAATACTTATGAAAGTATAAGTTTTATAACGGAAATATATAAATATCCAATGCTTTCATTTCAAAAGTTTAAAATAATACAGTTTGTCTTTAAATTCTTCTCGAACAGTAACCAAAATTAAATGACAAATTCAACGCTGTCTTCAACACTTCAACAAAAAGTCTGCACACTTTTGATATTCGATCATTCAGTTTTTGCATACCATTCATTAGGTGTGCTTTTGTAAACAAAGATTTTCAAATGACCCCATCAAAAAAGTTAGTCAAAGTTTCATCAAGCATCATGGCCTCGTTTTCATCCGTTTGATTTTGTAAATATTAACATTCTCCAGAAGATGAAGATACGGCTATGGGCTCAAATTGTCAATTTCCACGCAAAATCAATGTTTACGCAGAAAATCTGGACAAAATTTTAGCCAATTTTAAGCCAAACTAGTCGATTTTTTATCTTCTAGAAAATGGATACAGCCATTTAACATCCATCCATTGGTTGAAAAACCAAATAGATAAAAATTTCATTTATATGATTCTTATTAAAAAACGTTCATGTGGATTGTTAAGGCGAAATACTGAAATCCAAGAAATTATAATAGAATTCATAACTCGACGCTAAACAATGTGAACTTTTAAACTAGAGAGATTAACACAGGGACACTAATTAATCTGATCAACTCTATAGCATCAAAGGCCCCAAAAAAAATTACGAGGAAGATTTTACTCATTTCTTCTCTCAGTCTTTTTAATAAACACATTTTTTTAATTGGTTTTTTCGGATTATCATGCATTTCCGCTTAATTTTTCATTTTATTTTCCTTTTATTCAACTGCCCAAACTGATCCAGTTCTCCAAGAAATCTGATTCATTCCACAACTTTGCACATTATTTTATTTCACTGCTGCTTTAGAAACTATCGAAAACTAAAATCTGCTTGTTATAACCGGTCAGGTTTTCACTTCATAGGTTTTTGGCTGCCAATATTAATTTTCACTGCTGTTACTATGTATATATCATTTACATACTATGCAAATGACTCAAATCCATATAGAAACAAATCACTCCGACCTTCATATAATGGCCAAGTCCAAACATATTCCCATTTAAATCAATAATGTCATCATAAAATTCGCTAACGACTTTAGGCTCTTTTTCATCCGATCTATTTATAAGATATCAAGTAAATGACACCTTTGGGAGCCGTTCTCCTTTTTCGTCCCTCGTTTTGGTTTAGCTAATGACCGCTTGATCTAATGTTACAGCCTTGCTAATGTGAAAAAGTAGTCGCCCTTAAGTGTCGATCATCCAGTTTTATTTCAGCCTTTTTTTAGGGTTCATTGAAAGCCAATCTGATATTGTCAGTTAGAACAATTATTGGAAGTTAATCTATTTAACAATTATGTCCGCAATCTCAGTACAAGAAACGATGATACTTTCGAGTGATGAACAATAAGTTTTTTTGTTGATAAAGCTGAATTTTTCACTTTTTATGATCATTTACAAATGTAGAATGTATTTTTCAAGGAATTTGGACCGCAATTAACGCCACAACTTAACTGGTCGCGTCATACACCGCAACCTCGATCATAATTTAGTTAATCCTCCAGGTTTGCTTTTTAATTTCTCCGGGTTTCTTCGGCTGCAAAATCAAATTGAATTTCCTCTTAATCGACTTTCGTTTATTCCAGCTAGCGATTAGAGCTCGGTATTATTTTCTAGACTCCGAGCTGTTGGTCCAATTAAACTTGTCGTCATTCGGTGCCATGGTAAAAACCCCATTTGAGATTAAATAAATACTGGATCGGCACGTTTGTCGAAACCATTTCCATTCGTACGATAAATATTTGGCATGTACCAATTTAAACTGTCTAAATAATGCAGAGGCCAGTTTTGTGCAGCCTGATTAAAAATGTCCAATGTTTCATTTTAATTTTGATAACCACTGTAATATATGGCAATTACACTTTGGAGGTTTCGATTTGCTCCATTTTCGCCAGAGTTAATTGCCTTTTTTTCTGCTTATTTATAGAGTCGAGTAATGTAACAACATCAAGATTTGTGTTTTTTGCTTTTAACCGAAGGAAACCCAACAAATTTACTGAAAACACAATAAATATGTTGAGAGCTTATAGGTATATTATTATAGTAAACCTTCGTGTTAAAATTCTTTAAACCAATTTGTTTCATATTTGCAAAACATTTTTGTTGCAGGATATTTCGCATCAAAAATTTTGGTTTTTTTATTGTGTCTTTTATTGCGGATTGGTAAAGAGCGTTCTTATTTCATAACAAAGGACGAATCCTTCAGAAAACACTCTTAGGCTCAAGGAGTTGGAAAAATTCCAATCAGTAAAAAAATATTTTAGAAAAGTGTCGATAGCAATTCTTCTATATTTATAAAAAAGATGCCTGTAAAAGAGTATATTAATAAATTATTAAATAAAGATAATTTAATGTAAATTTGTAAAATTACATTRCATTAAATTTGTAAAAAAACAGATAAATAAAACTGATTTSAGGGTATTTAAAATATGAGGTATTTAAAATAATRAAAAACAGAGATATATTCATAAAAAACAWACATRAAAACAGMGAATTTCAAAATTTCGGGCTRCTKYAGCAATTTTACCATATGAAAATTTCACTAAATCAGCAAAAAAAAGTGAAATTATTTATTTTAATTAATTAAGARGCTTTATGTTTAATWAATTTAAGCTATTTAATTATGCTAAAATCTGAAGTAGACGAAAGGTACTCACCAAAATTAAAATATCATCAAAATTTTCAATWATTTTTTMTCTATTATGAAACAATGAGGTTTAGGCCAAAATCAACAGTGACAATTTAACAATTACCTTTTGGTAAAGATTTCGTTCTTTAGTGTGGATTAAGAGCRGTCTTTATCAATCTCTAGTCAAAGATGTGARGAACATCTGTATTTTTAATAAGGCGAACATTTTTGTACGTTACCCAACAAAAACTATTTGAAAACATGAACCCGCCTCAACCAGAGAATCAAGAAAGAGAAGAGAGAAAGAATCTATTTCAGTTTCAGTTTTTACAATATTTGAACGTTCTGAAGAAACTGTTTCCATGTTAAGTAGCTAATCTTTGGTTTACGATTGTTTTTACTTACTTTAGTTTTAGTTTGTCTTCGTTTTAACTATGTGGAAAAAGTTTGTCTGGGTGAATTTATTAAATATTTGCCATAACACTAAGCAATTCCAGTTAGCAACTGAAGCAATCTGCGCCTCAGATGGATTGATTGTGTCTATTCTGATGAAAACTAGAGAACTCGTCACTTAATTCCGGCAACAAATATACATATGCTCAATTAAAGTATAAAATCATAAAAAATAATGTAATTTGAGGGCGCACTAGTTGATAAAGTATAAAAATCTGTATTAAGAAAACGTTAATATATATTTTAAATAATTTAAGGTGGAAACACCCGTTAGACATCCCCCGGTTGGAAGGCCGAAGCCAGAAGAAACACCATCACACTCTCTAGTGGAACCAATTCTCACCGATACTATACAGGAAGATGATAACAATCCTGATCTTATACCTCCCACATATGGTGAGTAGTTGTTATATTATAGTCACTAACTAACTACCAAAATAGGTACTAAGAGAGCCTACATAAAATATATTCACATTATTAAATATCGGAAATTTAATTCACCTAAACCTTGTTAAAAAAAAACATTTTTGTTCAATATGAAAATATTTTTAATTTAATCGCGTTATTTCGCCATCCAAAATTTGAGAAAGTTTCAACTTTAACACAGCCAATCAAAGGGATTTTTAGTCTGAGTTTCAGATAGTTTCCAAACTTTTCTATCATCAGTTAGAACCATAAATATCTATTAAAGTAATAAATACACGAGTTTAACATTGAGTAAGTAATACTCAATAAAATAAAATATGTGTATTTAAAGAATTTCAATATGGACGTCATCGAATTTCTACAGAATTTTATAGAATTCTAGAAGAAATAAAATAATTGATTGAAAATATTCTATTGACTGCGAAGTGAGTATTCCAAGATAAAGACCAAAGTCTAAGTGAAACCAGCCATAACCATCGAATAAATTCATTAAATGAATCGACGTTTATTTATACTACTATTATCAAGACAATGTCTTAGAGAAATTAAAAATATCTTGCGTGCAAAAGAAACTTAGCAGACTAGTTTCAAAACTTTAATTTCCGACAACAGCAGCAAATTGCGTTCCAGTTATCATTAAAGAGATTTTATCTCCTTCTATGAGCTGAGATTAAACGAGCAGAAAAATAATATTTTACTGTATTTATGGATCTATTATATCATTCCCGCAATGGGAAATTGCTCGAAAATAAACGTTCGGAATTAATTAAAAAACGCTCCCCTTTAAATGTAGTTTTATTAATTGATATTATCTAATTGGCCGCACATGTCAGTCATTTAAAAACTGAGAAAATAATATTCACCTAGTGAATCCGATGAGATTGGATCAATTTTATGAAAATAGTGTTAAAATGTCAAAATCTTGATATAATTTATGTTTCAATATAAGCCTCTCATGTTCATACTCGCTTCAATTAGAACACTGGATTAACAAACTACGAACAAACTCCATTACTGACTTGTCTCGATTATATATTAATATTTTTCTAGTTGCCACCCGCACGACCAAATTTCGAAGCAAGTATTAATTCTGAAATGAGGCTGATCCGAATGTGGAAGTTTGAGTCCTTAACAAATATTAGAAACTTTGGAAGGTTTCGGATAAATTGAGTCGAATACAGTTATTTGCTAATCCAGAATTGGGACAAACTTACCTAATAAACCGATAGAGATGTAAGGAGGACCCTTGGAAGTTTTTCAAGCAAATATGGTCGAAGAGAGGATTCGAAACTTGCCAAGTGGGGGAAAATGCGGAAAAAATTGGAAATACGTCGTTTAGATGTGGATGAGCTATTTACTGACTTTGAGCCTTATTAAATTTCTGCTGCAATTTGTTTAGAAAAATCTATTTAAAGAAGTTGGAAGAGGGCTTGCGGTCAATTTAGACCTTTTGATGCAAAAAATATTGACCGAGTAACCATTTCCTCTAATAGATTATATACATTTAATATTATATTCAATTTAATAATGAGCTGGACTTCTAACCAATTTGATTGAAGTCCTAATTGAGCTGAATTAACATTCTTTTGCAACAGGCGATATCTAAGTAGTTTCCCATGAACTACTAAAAAGTTACTTTTGTGATCCCTCATTATCTTTTATAAAAATTACATGATTAGTTGGAATATTAAGTTTACATTTAATATCCATATATTAATAGCTTATTCCCCGTTCGACACGTGTTTAAATAATCATTAGAAAACTGATTGAATACATCGATTAATGTCAATAACACCACTGGTGGATCCGCCTGGATTATATATTGAATTGGATTCCAACCTGATTGATGGATTTACGAGTGGTTCACGTTTCCAGGAGACAAAATTTGCTTCTAGTTGACGTTCTATTATATTGCCATTTTTTTAATATGTATATACATTAAGCAATAATAGTGGCTTAACGAATCAGAGGCAAAAAAACCGCTTTAAAAATTGCTACAAATTTCCGATAAATTAACGCTAAAATATATTGCACAATATCTATATATGCTGAATAAATCCACTCATTTGGCATGATGTTTAAAATATGGAGGTGTAAGCAAATAAATAATGGTATTTAGAATTTAACTGTAAATTGTGCCAATGTGTACAATGGGGCTGCATGATATATTTGAAATAAAAGTTTGTTGTCATGAAAGTTGATAGCGAATTCCACAAAATGTATGTGAGTTCTAAGGGAATTTCAGTACTTTACTAAATAGATCTCAGTTACTGTGGCAAATGAGCTAACCACTAGCATTGGCCCAGAATGATACAACCATTAATATATTTTTACTCGATGTAAGTCAACTGATTTAAAGGGTTGCGCGATTTTTGAAAGTCGAATTGGAGCGGTTAAACTTTTTCTTGCCACCGCAAAAATCGTTTCCATCTGTTTTAGAGGGAAATATCTGGGAATGTATGTAAAATAAATTATGGAAATAGAAAACACGGGAAAGGCAACATACAAACTATCCTCAGAAGTTCAAAGTGTCCTGTTTTCAACAAACCATTCCCAGAAAGGGACCACCTCATACGAAACCGAATTCGAAAAACATAGAAAAATGGTATAACAATATTCAAATAAAAAATAAACTAGACATATTCAATAAAAAAATGAACATACCAATTTTGCTTCTAAATAAAACACTCGAACACGCTTCTTTTTGACAAATAACACACCAACAACGCACTTGAATGGCAGGAAAACTACTAGTTTTTTAAACCTTTGATAATGTTTAGCACAAAAGACTATCATTTAACCATTGTAGTATAGTAGCACCCTGTATAATATATTATTATTAGTAATTAAGTAGGTTAATTGCATGTCTGTATAAACAGTGCAACTAAGCAATATATTTAGGAGGATTGATCCCGGGCTTGGGTAGGTGAATGTAGAACAATAGTAGTTGAGACATTAAAGATAAAGTACGTGCATTCGCTAGCAGTTTAGACTCTTTGACCATACCCCACTCTCCTCCATCCTGGAAAGAACTACACCATTGCGAACTTCAAACTCCAAAACGCTCATTTCACATCATAAGAAACTTACTTGAAAATAAACAACTTGAATTAACAACACATATTGGAAGATGCAGACGACACTACACTTGTAACCTACGAGAAACCGAATGGAAAGGAGACAAAAAACTTCAAAACAATCGATGGTTTTATATTTATAATTGGATAATTGGGAGTTACCAAATGCCAATAAAAATTACTTCTACTATCTAACCACAAAATTACAGGCGTGAGTGAACAAGTGAACCGAAAAAAAAATACTATTTTGTGTTTGTAATTTATTACAATTAATTTTAATTGCATTACGAAAATGTATGAAATACTTGAACAGGAATTGTAAGAAGAGCTATTCAGAACACTTACATACAGAAACAAATTTTCCGAACCCATATGTAGGCAATGGAAGAGTTAAGAAACTGAGAAAACTGAGCAATACATAAGAAAAGCAGAACAGACTGTACTAAGACTGATACAAAAATGTTGAGAAACCATTACACGATCCGTCCAACTAACTTCTTTCTATACGAACGTACACAAATGACAAAAATAAATGAAAGGCTGCGGCAAATCAAGGAAAGTGGAAGAACAATCCACACAACTGGCCTATATTGATCTCTGTTTGCGTAACAAGACAAACTAGTCAATCCCGATTTCGATTCTCTTTCTTTACTCGTATACAATACTTTAAGGTAGAGAAACCGAAATAAACGACGTTAGTTTTATTTTGATTATTGTAAATGTTCTTAACAAGAAACGTACAAAATAACATGGGCTAAAAGATTGATTGGTTGATGGTCTTTTAACGCAAAAATAAAGATTCTTAATAGAAAATATACATAATGTTATGAATATTGTTAAACTAACATTTTGGCGGAATCATCATGACCCGCAGAAGTCACGCCAATTAAAATGGGATAACATCAAAACACTAAAGACTTTATGAGCAGATAACTCAAAGGCAGCGAAATTCGTTTAGTTAATCCGATTCCATTTTATTTATCTTTGACGTTGGTTCATGGAAGAGTTCATTTTCAGCATCAATATCGAATAGGTTTAAACGTAATATAACCGAATTGAGAAAGCCCGGATTTATACTCTAGTTATCCAATAAAGAGAAACAAGGCCCTATAAAACCGAAAAAACCAATTCGATCACGCACACACACACACACCACCTCGCAAACCCAAACAAATAGCACTTTCTCTGATAAATTGGCCGGTTCTAGAGAAATCCCATGTCTGGAAAATAAGTTTCTCAAGTTCTTAGTAATCAGTCAATATGTGAAAACTTTCTGGGCGGGACCTGTGCCATTTCCCAAGGGTTTATGCTGCCGTACTTTATGTTGGGGACAGTCTATCGGGAGTTTTGATATTAATACAATACATTTCGTTCTTTCTTTCCGTGTGCGACTTGGAAAACCGGAAGCAGAGATTTTTCAATTTTTTCTCGACTTTTGTTTGCACTATTGGATGGGAAAAATTGCTGAATGTTCAATCTGATAAAATCGTCTTCTGGCTGGTCTTTGAAAATTAAATCAAAGCACTTTAGCTTATCGGTTAATCGAGCATTGTTAAGCCCACCAAATAATTTGAAATATTTGTTTAATGAACTTTGCTTGCTAATTATATAAATTAAGTTGAAAATTTGTTGTCTCGTGCTATTGCGAGTAGAAGTTGTAGGAGGCTGGCGATTTTTTCGAATAGCTGGTTTCTAAGCGGCTCTTTCTTGAACATTATTTGTATTCTGCATGCGTCTTCTAATCAAGAACGAAATCTTTTTCGTTTTTAGTGAAATTAAATAATTAATACAACCAGTGTAGCTAAACCTGATATAATGATTAGGCAAAAAAGCATAATGGTCGTTGTTAATCGACATCAAGTAAACTTGACGATAAAGGCTAATGCTCAATCT